TCGTCCGCGCGGAATTTAAAAATTAATTATTATATAACCCCATGTGTTTTTTAGATTATGTTATCAGTATATATAGGGGTAATCTGCGGATCAACTGAACATATTTTGATGGGATTTTAGGAAGAAACTAGTGTTTTGCACCAGATGACCGTGCCGTGAAGTGCCGTGCTAAAGATGCTTTTTTATATATTTACATAAATAATACTTAAGGCGGATTATAATTCTGGTCGATTTGCGAAGGTCGGCCACGTATTATGTATGCTTTAGGAGCGTAATGAAAACGCATACATTGCTTCGTCAATACATAAACGGTTCAAGTTTACGTGTTTAGAATATATAGAAGTTGCGTTTATTTATTTAGGTACATGTTAAGATGAGAAGTTACATCACATTTCTTCATTATTAATCAAAAAGAAACACTTTACTATGCCATAGTAAAATTGCATACCGTAGCATCATATTATTGTCTCGAAAACATATATGTTTCTGAATCACATGAATGTTGAATCCCATGGTTATAATGAGTCTTGTTAACAATTCAACAATTTTGCAATTTGATAACAATTTATCCGGCGGATACGAATATGCGATTGTTGTGTAAATTATGTATAAATTAATTATAATTAATTGCTGCGAAATTCATCAACAACTATAGTAATATTTCAAAAACTAAAAAGCTTATTGTTTTTTGAAGTTATCTGCGGGACGGCTCATCTGATCTTGATGAAATTTGGCAAAGATATAGAACATTGTCTGGAAGAACACATAGGCTACTAATTAAGTTTTTTTTTTAAATTCCGCGCAGAAAGAGACGCGGGTGACTGCTAGCACAAATACATAAAATGAAACTTTTCGCCTGACAACAAAATGGTATTTACTTAATATATTCCAATGAGTTAACACACTTTAAAAGTCAAAATTAACACATATGTAACACTTGGATGTAAAAATTACCGAAGCATAGCTTGTTGCTAGGCTGATTATAGATATGATAGTACTATTTGGCACAAATTGATTTAACATTTTCCTTCATCTTTATAAATGATTACACAAATATTTAATATTAGTTAACATGTAAAAACCCAAATTTGAAGACTTCTATTTATAACCTGTCTCCCACATCTCCATTGACATGGAATTTAAAACAAACATAAATGCTTGATGGATGGATGGATATTTGTTACTACATATCACCAGTACAGCTAAACAGCTCTTGCTAAAATTTGGCATAGATGTAGAACATAGTCTGGAAAAATACATAGCCTACTAATAAAGTTTATTAAGTTAATCTTACTATGAAGTTGCGGGCAACAACTAGTTTACCATGAATTATAGTTAGTCTACGGTTGAGTTTTTAGATTGGAATTTGGTCTAAACTTGTCAGTAACTACTCCGGACTATATAATATGCATAGCATTGTTTAATTAGTATAAATTTGGACCTTCATGCTAAAGTAACTCATACTAGATGATTTTCTTGAGGTTCATGTTGTTGTGCACTGTCCTAATGCAGCCTAAAATTTTACCCTACATATTATACATATCTCAACAGAGATATACAAAGCCTAGTCTAAGTTAAGGGTTACTAAGCCTAAGTCAACAACGCCTGGCCAAATAAGCTTTGATTTTTTTTTATATCACAAGATGGCAAACGAGCGAATGTCACCTGAAATCGCTGAAATAGCGAAGTGACCGTTGCCCATAGACATACGCAATTGCATATGCGTTGCCTACCTTTAATCGACGGAGGAGAGGATGCACAGAAAGAAAATATTTTCCCTTTCCATGCATCCTCTCATCCGGAAAGTCCACTTCCACTTCCCATCCTTTCCTTATAAGAAATGGGATGGGAAGAGAAAAAGGACTAATTTTGGCCTCCGGGACGCACACTCATCAGACGAAACGCGGAATTGCTTCCACTTGACGCTTGTTTTATGTGTGGTCGTGGTATTTCACCGGGCGAGCCGGGTCGATTCATGCGAAGATGTTGAAGCGGGCTCTACCACTGTTAAATTGATTGACATATCTTTGAATTTCAGATAAATGCTGATTGCATCACAATGCTAACTTTCACAGTGACAACACAGTACAGATAAATGTACATAAAATATTCAAAAACCACAATGGAAATAGAGGGGATTGTACCAAGACCTGCAGATTCGAAGTCAAACACATTATTCCTAAGCTGATTGCTCCTTTATCAATGCAAAATTTATTTGGAAAGTTATGAATTAATTATTTGTAATTTCTCAATAAATAGGTTGAAAATGTGCATATTCTCTAAGCTTAAATAATTTGTTTAAACTAAAAAACCATGTCCACCTGAACATTCATTTTGATAATATTAGTCATCATCATCTCTCTGACCTTGTCCTACTTATGTAGTGTCGGCATACCAAATTTCCACAATCCAAATCAATCTACCATCATCTACCCCTTCTTAATGTCACCATCATCCATCAATCTCCTCCTATCTCCTAGGATTACATGTACTGGTGTACCCCTCCACACACACTTTACTTTCTTTATATATATTTATAATATTAGTAAGATAAGATATTTCATACTTCAGACATCATCATAATGAGTAGGATGTAATTTTGACTGTACACTTTTCTATATAATTTCTAGCACTTGATAAGTTAACAAAGGATATAGAGAAAGTCCACCGACCCACTGACTTGAATAGCTGTTGTATAAACATTTTTATTTTCACATACCATCCACAGTATTCTGAATACAATGGAATTATGATACATGTCTCAATGCTTTCATAACAATAAAAACCTTTCTTTATAAAAATATATCATCATTTCAATCACACAATAGTGTGTGAAACTAGTAATATGCAAGCTAAATAACATATTACATACTATATGTTAACAGCTAATATAGATTTTAAGTAGTAGTGCATCCAGAAGAATAGTTTTTTTTTATTTCTACAATGGATTGAGGTTAAACAACTAAAGCATTGATTGTCAAATGACTGACCTCATTTTAATATAATTTTATGGCCTTGTCCCACTTTGATACTAATTCAAATATGCCTTTTATCCACATTTCCAAATTAATTACATAATTTTAGTATTGTGTAAATTTTGAACAGTTACTTGCAACACTGATTGATGTTTATCCATAAACAAGCTTTGTCAATGTGTTATAATCGTCTAAACGTCTTGTATTTTACTTTTTGTTAGCCACAAAAGGCACTTTTATGGTAAAACATGAGTGTACCTCGAACGACACCGCAAAGAAACATGAGACAGGACAATGTCATTTTTAAAACATCGATGTTTTGTAAAAAATTGTGTGATTAATGAATTAGAGGTAAAGACAGCGTGTGAATCGAACAGCTGCTGCGAGGCCCGAGCCGCCCGGCAACGAACCGGCGCCTCGTTTCGCCACGCTACACCAAACTCCCCATATAGTCAAATAGGTTAACAGAGCTAACAAATCCGTTTTTGCTTGACACATAGTCTACTCTTAAGGTAATACGCAGCTAAAAATTGTACTCACATGAATTGACCGGTATCATCCAACAACACGCATCATATCAGCCCAGATAGGGCTGTCACTGCATAAATAATAATCACAACTCAACACAGAACATTTTAAATGACTTCTAACGCAATATTGCACATATAGATTTATAACCATCGAAAACTCATAACAGATTGCACGAAAACACATACACTGCAGCCACGTAATATTTACAAAGTTATTATCACAGTATAAACTAAATATCACCGAACCAACGAATATCACTTTACAACTCGTCCTTGCATTCACATAAATTGGCAGCCATCTTGCGCTCGTGCGAATTGGGAAAAATGTTGCCATTACATTTTGTTCTCCCATTTTATGGTTCAACGATTAAAAATTACCAAATCATTGAATGAAAAATAAAACGATTATTATAACTTCTTAAAAATAAGGAAATCAAAAAAAATCAATCTACTTTCTCTTTAAAACAGTTAAATTAACAACTTCTCTATCTGCTGGTTCAATGTAATTATAATTTGATAAATGTTAAATACAAAGTACATTACTATAGTTATGAATAAATTGTCTTATTTATTTGTAAAATCATTTACTATCATTTAATTTAATCTTTTTGTTAACGTGTCATTATTATATTTTAAGCGTGGCAATATTACTATTGTCATAGACAATAAGTTCAAAACTTTCAAACTGACAAGTTGACAAGACTGGTCTGTGTCACAGAGACACATTTTATTATTATACAACGAAACGAAATTATGTGAAAATATTTTACAATTAGAATACTAAAATGTTTTCACTTTTTCATAGATTTTTCTGAGATCTTTTTTATTTTATGGCAAAATAAGTCATTAAATTTCTGAATCGAATTAATTGCTTATGGTAAGACATAGATGTCAGTGCTGCCAATATAAAAAAAGCTATTTGATCTATAGTTTACATAAAGAAAGCAAAGCTTTGGATTTTTGAAATCAAATTGTTATGGTACATAAAGCTATAAATATAGAAGACCAAAGAAAGTATGGATGGATTGTAAGAAAGAGGATAAGCGTAAGAGGAGGGGGGATTCAGATATGACGGCTGATAGATGTAAGAGTAGGAGGATTAGGTGCGCAGGTTGATGATGACCATCAGGTACATATACAATGTTTGCCAATTGCTTTTTGTGCACTCAAAAATGATTGCTCAAGTTTTAGGGTAAATAAAACTACATATATATCGAGTTTATTAAGTTTATTTTTCTTAAAGAAATATCTTATAGACCACGAGTCTTACTTTATTTTTACGACTTACGTAAATGTTAACGCAATTCAAAATATACAATATCTTTAATAATAATATTAAAATGCACATTTCATATATCTTACGAAGATTTTTTATTTTTGGTTTTCACATTTTTTCATAATTATGTTTTAAAGTGACACAAAGGCCAGGTGTTAAGTTATTTAATTGAAAAAATCAAAATATATAAAAATTACAGCCTTCTAAAACGAAGGAAAAATTTTTAGTAATTTTTTTTAATTAACTTAAGATTTATTAATTGATTTTTAATCTTATATGATAAGTACCAAAATATTTTATTATTATTGGTTAAATATTGGAATGGCCCTGATTCCGTACAAGCGACACTCCATTAGACAATATAAAGTAAAAAATGCTTTGAACAAAGTCAAAATTTTTTGACTAGACAGACAATCACACACACATTTTGTAGTCATTTGAGTTTTTTTCCATTTCATTTCACTGTACACACAGTGTCACGGAGTCTTATTTTCCCACTTTTTTTAATCATTCATTAATTTTTGATTCCAATTTAAATGAACGCATTATAATACCATAGACACTGGCGTCAACGTCAAACTGTCAACTTGACAGCTGTCACACGAGCTCAATGGCGGGAGTAGTGTAGTACCAAAAACGATTTTTCGTATTCGTTTTGCCGTTTCATAGTCGAGTCTTCGATTCGAATTTGTCTTTCGATCATTTTATTATGACTCCAGGACTTTTCTGGTATTCAACGGGCAGGAATATGTGCATTAGCTTTTCTATTTCACCACGACATAACGGGCAACGATTGCATCTGTAACAAAAGAAACAAATTTTATTATTCACGCAGGAAAATATCAACTTCTCATCTTTTATCATAATTCTCAATCTTCATACATTTTGAAAATATTTGCATTAATAAGGGAAAGAATCGAGTTAATTTTATAAATGAAATATTTACTAGTGTCCTGGATAAAAATATGTATCCCACTGCGCTGCCTCAGTATGTATTTAACTATCCCAGTTCCCAGTATAGTATGTATCCCAGTGTGTCAGAATGTTCCTCACTGTGTCAGAATTTACCCCACTCTGCGATAGTAAGTATCCCACTTCGATAGTATGTGTCCCATTTCGTCAGTGTGTGTCCCACTGCGTCAGTGTGTGTCCCACTGCGTCAGTGTGTGTCCCACTGCGTCAGTGTGTGTCCCACTGCGTCAGTATTTATCTATGAGTCAGTATCGTATAATGTCAGTGTGTTCTGTGTTCTGTCTGTACATACCTGGGTGCGCAGTTCTGGCAGCAGACGACGTGGCGGCAAGGCAGCAGTAGCGTGTCAATGGCGGCATCCATACAGACTCGGCACGCCAGCGCACCGCCGCTCTCACTGCTACTACTGCTGCGCGAACGTGGCAATCCCTCCTGACAACAGATAAAACAAATTAAAACTTTGAAAGATTAGTACACTGAAGTTAGCTTTTTTTTAAAAAAAAATTGTAGTCACATGCAAAAATTACAAATATATTGTAGTTTTAAAAAGAGTTTCTGAGACCAAATGCGCCGTTTAAAACTTTTTTTTTAAATCAAAAGGTGGCAAACAAACTAGCGGTCACCTGAAATCGCTGAAATAGCGAAGCGACCGTTGCCCATAGACATACGCAATTGCATATGCTTACTTATAATCGACGAAGGATGCACAGAAAGTGAATATTTTTCCAAGCTATCATCCAGAAAATCCACTTCCACTTCCCATCCTTAAGAGAAAAGAGGTGAAAAGGGAAAGAGGACTATTAACTATTAAGAACCTATTGATATGCCTGTTTTTTTTAAAGATAGAGATATTTTATAATGAGATTTTGGTCTTAACAACCCACGGTTAGTTGTATAAGTCGTAATGCTTACCTCGTGGTTACTTCCCGATCTACGTCTCGTGCGCGGCTCATGTGCGTGCGCGTGCGCATGCGCAGCGCGGCGTGCCCGATCGTGGACCTCGCGACACGTGCGTCTGATATCGAACACGTAGCGTCGACCCAATGTTGACGAGTCGTTGAATATAGACGCTATTGTACCCTGGAAATAAATAAATTAAGAACAAGTTAAAATTATGAGTTTCAAACAGGATCTTGGATAATATTATAAAGAGTTTTTAAGAGAATTTATTTTTGACTTTTAACCTTAATTTCCTAATAAATGTCAAACAAAAAAAATGTGGCGTATAGATTACTTTTATTTGTATTCGATTGACCGCTGGAGAGGACGAACGTGATATGTAATTTACAAATCCATTTATACGAAAACTGTTGCCTTCGATAAATCACAGAATAAATAAGAGAGAACGTAGCTAAAGATGTATTCACAAATCGAAATAAAATTTAAATTAAGATACTGTTTTTACATGTCACCTGTAGTTTGGGATTTCCAGCGGTTTATCATACGTTACGTTCCACGATAGTTTTAAATCTATTTTTTTATTTCGTCTATCTATCTATCTAGACAGAATTTGAAGTGACGCAGTTAAGAATAAATCGATGACATGAATACGAAAACTGCTTTAACGATAGTAAACACAACTCGTGAATTAATAATGAAACGGACCTTTCAAAATCTAAAGTGCGCAGTTTTACGTTGAAAAAATTTATTTTAAATTTATCAACGTAAGTTATACAAAAAAAAGTTAATTAAAATATTCAAATGCTATACAAGATTTTTTAAATTCTATGTCGAAATCTGGCAAGATGCCAGAAAGAAATAAATAATTCCGGAAGTATATGCAAACTATGGTACGGTAGCTTTTTAAAGTGCTGTGTTAACAACGGTAGAGCCCGCTTTAACATCTTCGAATCGGCCCGGCTCGCCCGGTGAAATACCAGGACCACACAGAAGACAGGCGTCAAGTGGAAGCTATTCCGCGTTTCGTGTGTTTTAATTAGTTTAGTTAACCGGTTAACGTAATTTTTGAAAATTGTATTATTATCATATGGGACTGGCATGTTCAAGAACCAAAGCCCCTATAAAAAAAAGAAAAAAAAAGTTAAAATACAAATATATTCGTGGCATTGTGTGTCGTACCTTAAGATCCCTGATGAACTGTTCAGTAACGTCACTGCGCACTGTCTCGCAGCAATAGAATGCATGCTTCTCTGTCACAGCACGGTATAGCGCTGCCGCCTGGCCTGAGGTTGCCATCTTGACGTGCAGGGTCGCTTCATGACCTTCGCCAGTCACGTATGACAGCTGGAACAGCCGGCGTAATGGTTGCGCGCGGTGGATTGCCGTATATGGGATGCTGGAAAGAGATGGATATATTCTTGAGTATTTCGTTTTCAAGAGCGTTAGTTTTCTATAGTATATAATCTGGGAAGTTAAACGAATTTTACTTAATTGTACTAAATTAATTTTATAATTTTTGTTTGTAATTTAACATTTTGACTATTATTTTGATAAATCTTACTTCTTACTAATATTATAAATGCGAATGTTGAGATGGATGGATGTTTGTTTGAAGGTATATTCGGAACGGCTTATCGGATCTTGATGAAATTTGGCACAGATGTAGAACATAGTCTGGAAGAACACAAGTTATTAAGTTTTTTTCATGCCGTGCGGATTGCGGTCTTTTTTTATGAGAGAAGGGGGCAAGCGAGCAGCGGTAACATCGAGGTGTTCAACGACGCCCATGGACATAAATACCAGAGGAACCGCAGATGCGTTGCCGGCCTTTGAGATGGTGAAACGCTCAATTCTTTTAGTTATTAGACAATTTAATATCTTCTCAGATATGTGCAGGTTGCATCACGATGTTTACCTTCACCGTAAGAATGTCGGATAAATGTACATATGTAAATCGGAAATCGTAAAACACATTGGTACATGGCGGGATTCGAACCCAGGACCTGCAGATTGCAAGTCAAGTGCTTGACCACTGAGCCACCGACGCTCCCTCTGATTGATTCTATTACACATTTTTATTTTGTCTCTTTGTTCGAGTGATATTGAATTTATCAGTAATATACTGTATACTTTTTATGTACATAACATGATTCTTTATCGTGTTTGTGAAGTCTGTTCTGGCAAAACTATATTTACATATGATAAGATATCATTGTTTTTCGCATTTAAACTAGATTATTCGACCCGGATGAGTTTGGCAAACATATATGCTGGTTGAAATTATGGAATATAACTTTCTTTTATATTCTACTCACGATAATTGGTTCACTGAATTAACCGTGAGAATATTTAAAAGATTATGGAATAAAAAAAAAACAAACTCAATGGTACTGAATGAAAATCGTAACGTTTGAATAAAAATTCCGCGTCCCGGAGGCCTAATTTAGTCCTCTTTCCCTTCCCACCCTTTTCTTATAAGGAAAGGATGGGAAGTGGAAGTGAACTTTCCGGATGAGAGGATGCATGGACAGAGAAAATATTTTCTTTCTGTGCATCCCCTCCTCCGTCGATTAAAGGTAGGCAACGCATATGCAATTGCGTGTGTCTATGGGCAACGGTCACTTCGCTGTTTCAGCGATTTCGGGTGGCTCGCTCGTTCGTTTGCCACCTTGTGATATAAAAATTCTATGAAAAAGTATCAACACAATGGAAAAGAAACTTTCTTACATAATAACATCGTTACGTTACGTACTTATCGTGCCCTTATTATACAATTACATTCCTATCAATATTCAATTGGGTAGACAGATTACGTATTTCCATTTAACACGCATTGACAAGACGACAGACTAAACATTATTATGTGATTAATGTAATTAGAAACAACGCCATCTATCTGTGGAATAAAACAAGTCTTACCTTTGTTTTTCAACACCAATGTCTTGGTCGCCGTTGCAGGCGGGACGGTACACGACGATGCCGTGCGGGCCGACGCCCACGCAAGTGCTGAGCCGACAGCCGCAGCCACCTACATTCTGTCCCGAAGTCAAGCAGCCGACAGTTCCTCCTCCATCTATCTCCTGTTCGTCCCTCGCTCTGGGCTCTTCTACTTGTTGCCTGTGATACAGCAAATGGCTGTAGAGGTTGTGAGCGTTGTTACTCTGTGTAACTGGCTTGCAGAAGAATAGTTCTTCACCGAACGACTCGAGTTTCGATATCTCCTTGAGTAGTCTGTATTCCGCTTGTGATGCTCGCATGCCTGCTATTTCACAGTGGTATTCTATGATTTTGTCTACATGATCTTCAGGTTTGACGCCTTGAGGTCCTATTTTGTTACACTCCTCATAGATATGTGTGGGAGGCATATCTACGTCGCAGTCTCCAGTTTCTGCTTGGGCTATGTACGCTATGATACGTCGAGCGACTTCTTGATCAGCGACAACTAATCTACCTTCAATAAGGTCTAGTTTCGCGTGTAAGTAATGTTGGTGTCGCGTTGGTTCATTGATGAGGAGATGTGGTGGTACCCAGAACTTAACGCGAAGTTCTAGACGACCGCCGGGGATACGATGCGGGTCGAGAGGGTTTCGCAAGTTCAGCCATCTACCAGGTCCTGATCCGTGGCACACTCGTAGCCCGAAGTAATCAGATTCGACACCGATTTCCAGTTTCTCGCATACCTGAAATTAGAAATTAGGTTCTAAGTAAAATGATCAATATACTTTGTTAATTTCTAAATCAAGACATGCTGCAGGGAATTATTTTATATGCAATTTTAACGTTACAAAATAGTTGTTGTGAAAGCGTTTCGTTTGCCACAAAACCTATCATTATATAGCATTTAAAGTTTTATTTCATATCGTAGTATTATAATTAGAAATTGCGAGTACACTATTATTATATGACGCATAACGATGAAATACCTCATGGAATTATAGACACGGATATAATTTTATTTTTCATACCATATCGAGGTTTAATTTAACATAATGAGTACATTCAAAGTTTCTATGTTTCTCGAGGGTCCTTAAACTAACAAAAACGCTTACATATGACGTCACAAAAGACAAAAAACATGCTAATAATATAGATTGCTACCATCTTAGTATTTCAACACTCACTGGGCTTGAGTGTGCCCAACGTCTGGATGGAGTCGATCACGCTAACCCAGTGAGGTTAGGTTGACTTTACACATATCTTATAGAAATAAAAGTCACGATAAACTACGAAACTATTAAACTAATTCTTATCAAATAAATTTAAACATCTGTTATTTGGTGCATTTTGGATGTTTGGTAGTTTTTATTTTAAATATTGATCTATTCTTTAATTCCGGACCAAGTCGCGCGCGACAGCTAGTATTTACATATTATGTATTTGTAGTTTAGAAATATATACAGAATAATAATGTCAATAAATGTATACAGTACAATGGAAATGGTGTTATCTTGAAGATATTTGCGATTATAGTGTTATTACATACTTATTGTAAGTATGAAACAAAAGATATATAATCTGGCAATCACGAAACCACTTAATGAAAGTACTTTCATATAAGAACTTAATATACTTCAAACATTAATTTCTTAAGAGCAAGGAAGTACATGCTCAATGCTCAGGGCTGACTAACCGGTCGGTCGCAACTATTACCGTAGGTTTCTGAGACCGAAATCCCCGTTCAAAACATAACACGCATACAAACATGTAATCTCAGACGATATTTATACAGATATTTTGGTCTCAAAAACATCATGGCAAGTCAAAAAATATAATTACGTGAAAAATAACGTTGTGAATTCAAATACTCTCACAATACGAAGAGGATTTTGATCTTTTGACGTTGACAGGGGAACGCTAGTGATCTGTCATAATTTAGTTTTTCTTATACCAGGTCTGATTACCTTGTAAGCTTATTGTTTACCCGATTTAGAAGAGTGCAGTGACATAGGTCGATCTCGGAGTGTCATTGCTGCAAAGGACGTTATCAACAATTTACAAAGGTGTGATGAATGATGGTAATATATAACTTAATATATAATGTAGCAGTGTGTTTATTTAGTAGATCTGTTTACTTTAAATACGATACCAGTCCGGAACGACCTTGTAACTTGAGGTGCCCATTGACACATTATCTTTAGATATGTATGTAGGTATGTCCGTAGTAAACACACCGCAACTTGATACGACACAATGTTGCAAGTTTGTATAGTACTACACAAAGTTTACAGTCGCTCGGAATGTCTACGATTAACATAATGAAATAAATTAAAAAAGCTTTTGTTATGTTACTGTCAATTAAAATTATTAAAAAGATACAAACTACTCGTTAAGACTATTCAAAAGAGTCTAAACTCGATGAGATAGTGTCGTTTCTTTGCATTTCTATAGCTTTCTTCCAACTATATTATTAGATCATCACCATGTAAAGACCATGATCATCATCAGTTAACTATACGTCCCTAATGAGGGTCTTGGAGCCTACCCTAAGTTAGGGGTAATCATAGCATTCGCAAAATCGTTACATTGCATAGAAATGCGCGAGAAAACACATACAACACAAAGTGGGTCTTGGCCTCCGACTCAAGAGATCAATATACGCGAGAAAATACTTTACTGTATTTCCATCTTCGTACGAATATATTTACTGTTCATAGTAGCATATAAAGACTAGCACTTGTAAGTCAATCCGGTTGAGTAAAAACATTTACTCATGTCGACCAAACAAACGGTGCAATACGGATGACATAATAAAATCAACACATTATAGAGCTTTATTACAACGTGGTAGAGTTCAATTTTACGTTTACAATATCAGGGGCACGCTCACCTATCGTGACCACCTACTCATTGTAAAACAATTAACAGCATTATATTGCTATTAAAATAAACGTATAAAGATCTAACGCAATACATAATATTATACATATGTATAACACGAACCTATTTACCATTGTAAAGTATGACGTCACGTCTATTTTCATTTCCTACTGTAAATAAATAAATAAAAATAATAAGTAAAAATAAAGCATTAAATAATTATTTTCACGATCTTGTTTCGGTTTAGGATAATCGTTGAAATTTATGTAATAAATAGCGGTCGCCCACCATTCCGTACACGCGGAATTAAAAAAAAACACAAGTATCAGTAGTGTGTTCTACCAGACTAAGTATGCCAAATTTTATTAAAATCCGTTCAGCCGTTCTGGATATACTTCCAAACAAACAAACATCCATTCATCCATCCAGAAGTATAAAGTATTTAAAGAATATTTTCTCACTTAAATGTTACTAAAAAACTTTGTGTGCGCAATGTCCCGTACAAAATTACGAGCGTGTATAAATTTTGAATGACATTATACATAATCTTTCTGGCCGTTTCTATTCTTTCATATATCTATCACACGTCATAATTGATTCCCTTACGCATATTGTAATGGCGCTACACATTAGTGGCGTTAAATGATTATCATAACAAGCAGTCGACCTTCTCGTACGTATCGCGGATAATGTAAATACTTCATTTGTTGCATTGTTCGAAGTTAGTTTGCGTTACATGCGTACACTACGTGTTCCTAACGTTTAAAAATGGAAGACTTTTTTTTAGATTTTATGGCTAAGGAAAAGACTATCACAAAGCCGTAGCTAAGAAGTATAAATATAAAAGTTTTCAAGCTTGATTTTAATATTTACTCTGCCTTGTTGAAAAACTATTGCAGCTTCAGCACGAATCAAACTTTACATCAGCTCGGTTATTGCATGAGAGGAAGTAAAGAACATTGTTTTTGTAACCAACGTGCGTGCTCTCGCCTGCAAGACTTGACTTGACTTGTGTCAATCGGCTCCTAATTCTTATAAAATATAATAAGATCATCGTTAAGGACTTTACAAAGTTAGTCGCAGATTTCTGAACATCGTTAGATACCGAACCCAAAGTGACAAAGCAAAAAGTAAATTATCGGACCTTCTGGACGAAATTCGAATTTCATTTTTGCTAAAGATCGTGTCCATCTTTTTCAGCGTTGGAGTAAATTGGTTCCACGAATTTTCTTCACGTAATTACGAATACGTTATACAAAAAACTCCAGCATGTAATGAAGGGTTGAGGTAAAAACAGTATCCTTTTAATTATTGAGTTTTTTGAAATGTAGAAAAATTCTAAGACATTGATATTCTGTTTTTATAAAACGAAAATGCCAATATAATATTTGTATCACCGCACGTGGGCCCTGTGGCGCAATGGATAACGCGTCTGACTACGGATCAGAAGATTCCAGGTTCGAATCCTGGCAGGGTCGCGGTGTAACTTTTTTATTTCATATTTTACAATTAATAATTTTAATTAATATTTTGATACAATACGGCATAAGAATAGCTGAATTTAATTTAAATAAAAATCTAGATCTTATGATATTTACTTACATGTTACTGTACAGTTTATCTTATGAATTTTAGTACTCCTAATGTTATGAAGATAGATTTAATCGTTGATTTGCCTTGAATAGGCTACGAAATTACTGAACCGATTTGAAAAATTCTTTCACTGTTGAAAAGCTACATCCCTGGGAGACAGGCTTTTTTTTAATGTCATAAAGTGGCAAACGAGCGAGCGGCCACCTGAGATCGCTGAAATAACGAAGTGACCGTTGACCATAGACATACGCAATTGCATATGCGTTGCCTACCTTTAATCGACGGAGGAGAGGATGGACAGAAAGAATAAATATTTTCCCTTTTCATGCATCCTCTCATCCGGAAAGTCCACTTCCACTTCCCATGCTTGTCTATAAGAAAAAGTGTGGGAAGGGAAAGAGGACTAAAGTAGGCATCCGGGACGCACACTCATCAGACGAAACGCGGAATAGCTTCCACTTCACGCCTGTCTTCTGTGTGGTCGTGCTATTTCACCGGGCGAGCCGGGACAATTCGTGCGAAGATGTTAAAGCGGGCTCTACCACTGTTATATTTATTACTCCGATTCAGTTCCGCGCAGATTAAGTAGCAGGCAAGGCTATGTATGCTGTACAAATTACAGATTTACTAGCAGCTTAATATACGAGTTGTTTTCGAGTCTTTATTACATTGATCATTTTTAATGTAGCGTAATATTTATGACAAAAACTACACGCTTATCATAAAAAGTACATCGTGACCGGTTTGACCCTCACATATGACATTGCGGTCATTTGCAATCTGTGGACAATGTTATAAAGTTTTTATTAGTTAAAACGTAATAGAAAGATATTGAAGATGGGTCTGTCTGTGTGACATGACTCCTAATAAAGAACGATGTTTAATGTTTTTCAAATTAAACTAACGAATACTTTCATATATTTCAATCTTATTTCTTATTAATATTATAAGCTGTCGCCCGCGACTCCGTCCGCGCGTGATTAAAAATAGATGTTGGCCGATTCTCAGACCTACTGAATATGCTCCCAAAATTACATGAGAATCGGTCAAGCCGTTTCGGAGGAGTATGGGAACGAAAATTGTGACGCGAGAATTTTATATGTAAGATAAATACGAAAATTTAGATGAATAGATGGATGTTAGTTAGAATGTATTATATTTACAGAACAGCTGCATGGATCTTACAGAAATTTAGCACAAACGTAGAACATAGTCTGGAAGAACACATAGGCTACTAACTATTTTTTTAATTCCGTGCGGATGGAGTCGC